TACAGGTGGCAATGCAAACAAACTTGATTCCTCGGTCCAGCAAGAGGTATTTTCAATTCGTGCATTCCATTCAGAATCGCACCAATCGACTGAATTGCATTCGCATGAACCATGTTCTTCCTCTGCAGTGCTTCATCTGGTGGATAGCCGTGATCGTGAATTATTCTGAAGCATCCGAAAGAAAATTTAGCTGATGATTACACCCGAATAATCTGGTGTTTTTCTTGTTCTAAGTGTTTATTTTGAGCGTTTCCTAGTTGATCAATGACTTAGAAATTGAAATTTGTTTGAAAGATCTCAATGGTTTTGAATTCAAAAAACTGTTTGTTTGTCATTTGAGGTGAACTCGCTTCATCTGTTTTAGTACTGTGCTTTTTCCACTTTCTCCAGCACCTGAAAAATGTGACATATGGATTTCTGTTTCTTTTCAAAATCACTTCCAAAAATAGAACAACCTCAGGATACAAACGCCTCAAGAAGTGTTCGATGAATAGAAATTACTAGACTGGCGGTTACATTAAATGGAAATTTTGATCTGTAATCGTTTGCGATCAAAAACGTCGGAAATAAAGCGTCTCAATTGGCTCAGTCTTATCCATCAATAACCGCAGAAGTCAAAGTTCAGTTTAAAGTTTCTCTCGAAAACGTTTCAGATTCTATTCACGATCACTTACCTAAAAGAAGCAGCTTCACAACGGATTCATCTTGTCGTCGTTCCTTCTCAATATCGCGATTGATTTCAGCATTTCTCTTGATCAGATCCGTGTTTGAGCTTTCACAGTTACCCATTTTTCCAGGTGCGGAACCCGTCTTGCCTGAATTACCAGGCTCGACGGCCTGAATGCGCACAATAAAATTCACCGGCTATGGTCGCTAAGAACGAGTACGTTTCGAAACATTCAATTCCCTGAATATTTTCTCTGCTTGAACAATTTTATTCGATTAATAATTAGAGCAATTCCTGCAAGATGATGACGTACGATCAGTAATTTTAGTTTTGCATGAAATATACGGTGCGTCCTTAGAACAAATCCATCAGAAGCGTATCGTGCAAACATTTCGTCGAGTAATTCAGTCAAGTCAATCAGGCATTCATCAA